CCCCCCCAGCCGCTCTCCCCCCCCGGAAAGGCTCCCCCAGGCACCCAGTGACATGGGTGGGCCAAGTGGGTGATGGGGAACCTGTGCCCGCCTCTTAATTCTTCTGCAAGCGTCTGGTTTGGGGGTTAAATATGGCTTTTTGTGCAATTTTGGTACGGTTGTTTTATCCCTGTGCCATGGTGGGTTCCTTGGGATGCAGCTGCGGAGCAAAGTGGTAACAGCCACCAAATCCAACCTCTCTCGTTGCAAAGGGGCTTGGTTTTGGCAAAGCAATGGAGCTAGTGGCAGGGAAAAACTGTGCCTTCCGTATCTCTCCTGCATCCCCAAGTTGCTGTGGAGGTGCCCACGCAGGGGATGTGCAGTGTTTTCCCCTTTCCCATTATCCCAAGGACCTTCTGGCTGCCCCGGGAGCACGGGGCCGGTGGCTTTTCCCCCTGACTCTTTGCTAAGGTGTGAGGAAGAGGAGGGATGTGGCCGAAGGGATGTTCTGGAACATGGGAGGGGAAAAAGGTGCAGAGGGCTGGAGGAGAAATGATGGCTGGGCTGCAGCACAAAGCATCCACCAGCCGGAGAGAAGGGCAGATTTTATTTTATTTATTTAAAGCTCCCCAAATGAAACGTTGGGGGAAGATGGTGTCCATCATCATCCATCATCTCCTGCCACCGCTCAGTTCTGGGCCATCACCTGGGAGGAGGAGAACGGCAGCGGCTGAGCCGAGCAGGGACAGGGCCTGTGCACTGGTGCAATGACGGTGCCAGGTCTCAGTCCCCGGCTGCCCAAGCCCTGCCGTTGCCTTACGTTCGTCATCCAGGAGACGTAGGCGGACACACGGGTGAAGACTGTGGGTTTGCGCTCGACGTTGCAGCCCAGCCCGGAGACGAAGCTGGTGACGCCGTGGACCTGGTACTGCCCGTTCACGGCGCAGTGGAGGGGACCGCCCGAATCGCCCTGCCGGACCCAGGAGCCCGCATGAGACGGGAGGAAGGGGCATGCCAGTGGGATGCCGGGGAGGAAAGTGGGACGCTAGGGTTGTACCTGGCAGCCGGAGCGTACGCCGTCACCGCCGGCGCAGACCATGGTGGTCTTGACGGTGGAGCCCCAGTAAGAGGGGCTGGAGCAGATCTGGTAGTCCACCACGGGCAGGTAGGCCTGCAGCAGGACGCTGGAGAGCTGCCCGTTGGCTGCACACAACCAAGCACGGGTTAATGCCATGCCTCCCCCAGCCAGCGCAGAGCCCGTGGCGGCCCGAGCCACTTTTCCCCCACAACCCCCCCAAACCCTCGGCACGACCCCACCCAACATTGGGCATCTCCATGCCTGGAGCGAAGCCCCATGTGAAGCCTCTTAGGACCTCAAAGGGCTTAACGATATCATTTGGCTCCCCGCATATTCCACGTTTTTCGGGTGATTTAGGGCCGGGGCGGCCCATCGGCACTCACTGCGGGTGAGACCCCAGCCCGTGATGTAGCAGGGGTAGTTGTTGGGCAGGATCGACCCCTCCTGGGGCAGCACCGCCAGCTGCACGTAGCTGTTGAGGGTGGCGTAGCTGGACAGGCGGATCAGGGCGATGTCGTAGCTGGAGAGAGCAGGGAGAGGATGCTGCAGGGACCCCCCTCCATTCCCAGTGACGCTGCCCCCCCGACCCCTCCTCCCCATGTGTTACCCCCCCGCGGCATTGTTGCTGTTCCAGTAGGGATGGATGATGATCTTGCTCACGCTGAAGGTCTGCTCGCTGCCATCGTTCGAGTAGAGGTTGTGATCCCCAGCCACAACGCGGAAATTCATGTTCCTGCCAGGAAGGCGAAAAAACTCAGGATTAGGCCATAAATGATTATTATTTTAACAGTGAGCTGAAAGGGAACGGATCAGGGCAAGAAGGTGCTCCCAGAGGGGGTACAAACACTTCATGGAAACAGGCAAAGACCTTCAAAGATCTCTAGGCTGGGGCAGCCAAAATTTCTCCTTGGAGAGCTTTTGGGTGGAAAATGGCTTTTCCACAAGAGGAAGGTGGGGTGCCCACCCCCACTCACCGGTCCACGCAGTGGGCTGCCGTCATCACCCAGTTCCTCTGGATGAGGGACCCTCCGCAGGTGTGATGCCAACTGCCACCGGAGTAATACTGGAGGGAGATCTGGGGAGGGGGGATGAGAGACACGGGGGGGGCTCAACGCAGAGTCCTGGGCGATGAGACCCCCGTGGGATTTACTGGCTGACCCCCAGAAGGACCCACCTGGGAGGGCCAGGAGTGCGAGCGAGCCTCGGTCCCCCCGACCACACGTTGCACCCCATCAAGGTCCTGCTCAGAGCAGCGGCCTGTGGGAGAGAAGAAGGGGGGGAGGGGTGTGAATCGCAAATGGGGGGTTGTCACCAGCTACCGAGGCCAACGGCTTCCCGCAGAGGACACACCGCAGAGGGCGAGGGCGGCGAGGAGCACGAGCTGCAGCATCATCCTGGACCACGGTGGCACGTCGTCTGCGCCGGGGGCTGCGCCGGCGGCGGTTTTAAAGGGGACAGAGAAGGAGGGGTGGGAAGAAAACCAGCTGATAGTGCCCTACGGAGCAGCCTTGGTCATCTTCCAAAACACACACGGCCCTGAAGGTCAGGGCTGAAAACTCCTGGAGCACCCCAAGTCTCCCTTGGCTTTGGACAGGCCCAAATCCCTTGGGAGACGACGCCCTGCTCGTGCATCTTCCTCTTCCACACATCTTGGGCAACGCTGTCGTGAGTTTATCCTGGTCCTGAGCCCCATGGATGCTCCAGCTGTGGCACTCACATCACATTTATCCATGGGATGCTTCCAAGAGTTTTAGCCAAGAGAGAAACGATGCCCCATCTCCCCCCTGGAATGGGGAAATAGAGGCAAACCATCCAAAAAAATCCACGCACCCAGGATGGGCAGCACCAGAGTGGGGACAGGCCAAGACCTACACGGGGCATTTCGAGGTTAAATGAAACACCAACATGATTTGTAAAAAAAGCCTGATTTCTGGCCAAAACATTAATTGTTTTCCCCCTTTAGAAAGAAACTGAGGCTGTTCTGGGGGCCCGGGGGGACCTGCAGCAGGAAGGTTTTCACTCAACTCATGGAGCGGTCACTGGCAAACAGCATTTGTAATAGTGGTGATTATTGGCTCACTCAGGGAAAAAAAACCCAAACAAAACAAAACAAAAAAAAAAAAGGAAAAAAAAAACCCACCTGCTGCATTTCTGCTTTTATCTCTAAGGACAACATGAGATTTCATGGGGAAAACGGTCTCCAAATAATCACTTATTTGTTCTCCCAGCACAGAAGGGAACACAGCGAGGCCTCTGCCCAGCACAGGGACAAGCCAACCCCAATTTAAACCACCCCAAACGTGACATGTCGTTGCAAAAGGGGCTTTAAACCCACTTTTGGGCTGCAAAAGGGAATTTCCAGCGCAAGAAGAGAGAGAAATTAAATCAGAGGAGGGGTGGGAGCTCAGAGGAAGCTGGAGACAGGATGTCCATAAAATAAATCATCTCTTTATTTGAGGTCATGTATCCAAAGACAGCTTCTCCCACTCCCACGCCACTTCCCGGGGGGGGTTTACCCCCGACTGTAAGTGAAATGGCAACGAAAGCGGCAGCTACAGTAGTTGGGCTTGAAGAAAACCGGGCGGAGAGGAGATCTGGCACCCAGGGGGCTGTAGAGAGCCTCTCCGGGAGGATGCCGCAGTGTGTCCAGCCGTGCTGTCCAGGAAAATCCTTCCCCGGGGTCAGCATGAACAGAATCGCACCAAGGAACCGTCATCATACAATAATAATAAAAACCCATCTAAGTTACTCCCCCAAATCCAGCCTGCTATGCCAGGCAGACACAGCCCCACTCCCCCGTCCCAGCGTGGCGATGCAGGACGCTTGCAGTGCCGGAGGGCGAGGGCCGGATCCTGGCGGTAGCAGGGAGGAGCCCCTCGCCGGCAGGATGAGGCACGCGGCCGGTCACCGTCCTCCTCCTCGCTGGCAGGAGTTTCCCACCCAGCTTTCACACGCGGGGTGGCACGACCGCGCTCTCAACGCCCGATGAGGTTCCAGAGTCTCTGGCTGGAGCCGGGGAGGGGAAGGATGAGCAGCAGCCGGGTACGGAAGAGCATCCTCAGGCATCCCCACGACTGCCGGGTTTGGGCTCCATGGGGTACTGCCAGGCAGGCCCAGGCTTCCCCGCTCCAAAGGCACAGGACTGAGTTCAAGGCAACCGTGAAATGCAGCATATTTAAGGCTTTCACTTCTTAAATAAAAAAGAAAATAAAAAAAGGAAGTTCGTTTGGATTCTGGTTTCCTGAGCGCGGTTGGGGATGGCCAGGGGTTGGGCCTCTCGCTCCCCACCTAGGTGAAGGACCAGAGCTGGTGGGGGTCTGCCGGGTCGCAGGGAACCATCGCCGGGTGCTTCCCTCGTGCCGTCAAGCACGTGCCGGAGGCCGGGTTTTTGATCAGCCGGTCCTGCCGAAACACAAAACACAAAAACGGCGTCAGCTCAGCGATGAAAGGATGCGACCGAGGGGAAGCGTCAGAGAAGCCCCATCAAGGAGGGGGATGATGCCACCACCCCCTTGGGTGATTCCGGGGCTGGAGGAGCATCTCCTCACCAGTGCCAAGTCCCACT